TGGATGATCTGTAAGGTCCTTTCCCACCCCAGGCATTCCCTGATTCTCTCAGAAGCTGCAGCCCTGGAGGAAGATCTTTCTGTGGTTTGAGCTGTATTTTTAGCAGCAGTCCTGTTAACAATCTCCTGCCTCCCATGGGCTGTGCTGTCATAACTCTGGGCTTGTTGTCTAATCTTAACCCAGAACTGAGTAAAATACGATGCAATCTGCAGGTAATTCCCAGCTATCCATCACTTTTTCCTCCAGTGGAAGTGCTGCAAGTGCCCAACTCCTTATCACGGCGCAGAGGGAGAGGCTGATTTGCTGAGGCTTATCCTGAGATACAGATAGGGCAGAAAAGGGAGCGTGCTGAAAGGTTTAGGAGTCGCAATTATTCAGGCAGGATTGCTTGGAAAATGTGCTGGGAGAAGTCCTAGAGGAAGGTTGGAGAGGCTGTGATTGGTGTGGTGGGTTAATGGGACGGAGCAGCAGCATTTTGGTTGGAATCAAATCTACCTCCCTTCCTTCCTTCCTGCTCCCAACCCAGCATCTCTGTCAGGATCTTGTTAAGTTTATAAGATTCTCCTGCCTTTTTTTTTTATATAATATAAATATAAAATAACATAAAATGTATATAATCCTGACTTTTTCCCTTCTCTGTGCCTCGTCTCATCCACTCCAGCCAGTCCGTGCCGCTGCTCCTCAGCCTCCTGTGTTGGGGGTGCAAACCTGGTGTAGCCAAGGTGTAGGAAAATGAGTTTGGAGCACTGAGTGCAAAGTTCAGAGCGTAAACCTTGACCTGGAGTCAAATTGGGAACAGTTTGTGTCCTGTCAGAGCTGGGGGACAGGGGGTTGTGAACTGGGTGTTCGTTCCCTTGCCAGCGAGCAGCACGTTTAAGCATCATCTGACATCTTAAGGAGGGAAAATGGGAATAGAGAGGCAGCTTTTATAGGATCAGGTGAATGACAGGAGGAAATGGGGACAGGAAAACTTTCTGTCTTGTCTCTGGAAAGATGACATGTTAAAGGTATCAAGGTGGTAATAGAGAATAAATCACCGAGCACGAGGGTGGCATTAGGAATTCAAAGTGCTCCTCTGCTGCTGGGAGTTTTGTGTCCTGTTGTTCTATTCTAGCATCCAAATTGTCTCCCCTTCACCCTGGGTCTGCTTTTTCTCCTGGAGCAGGGAACAGCTCCTCTTAACTCTGCCAGCAAAGGCAGCTCAGCTGGATCACTCCCTGTGCCCCTGTCAGGGAGGGATGGCAGCATCGACACCAAGCAGGAGCAGAGAGAACTCAGTTTGGGTGTCCAGACCTCAATTTCACCTTTAACATCCACAAAATTCTCTGTATTTTGCCTCCTTTCTTGCCAAGGCTATCCAGGTCTGAACCTTTTTACTCTGCCAGCTTATTCAGGAGGGGGTTTGTGTATTGATTTGCTGCAGGGATTATCCTTCCCCTTCCCGACCTCGTTGCTGAAACCTTTTTTTTTCCTTCCCAAGTGTGTTCAGAATGCCTCTGTTTTCCCTGGCATCCTCCTCTATAACAGGGAATACCAACCAGGAAGGCAGATTTCCATGTTTTTTTCACAGCCAGGGTGTTCCAGGGGATGGGTGCTGGGTATTATTTAGTGCCCTGCCTTCATTTCCTCCCCCTTCCTGCTCTCATCTTCTCTCTTAGACTGATTAAAGGCATCCCTGGTCAAAGAAAAGTCTTCAAAGAGGGGGATCTTTTCAAACTGTGACTGTGAATCAGGATTTCCATCGTTGTTTGGAGTCTCCAGCGCTGTTTTGGGCCAGGATCTGCTCCAAAGGATCCGGTATCAGCTTTTTTTTTCAGGAATATTACAAGGTCAGGCAGGAAATGGCCCTAAATTTGGGCAGTCCCAGGTGCTTTACTGCTGTGTTCTCCAAGCTCCCAGCAGTCACTGGCCACACAGACCTTCCTGGGGGGGTGTCTTGTCAGTGAGAAGAAAATATTGACTTGGTTTTGGGGTGGTTTGCAGAGAAAACACGAGT